TGGCCACTTTGCCTTAATTGCTGGTAACACAGTGTTGATTAACATGTCTTTGAACACTTCCTTTGTGATGCTACCTATAGGTTTTGTTTCCATCACCCCTTCATCTCTATTTTTGCTTCTCCTTTTGGCTGCTACCTTTTGAATGAAGGGAAATATGCCTACCTTACCATCCCAAAGTACTTCACCAGTGTCTGAAAATAGAGGTCTGCCTACTACTCCTAGGGACATAACCTTAGTTATGAACCTCTTTGACTTGCACACCCTATGAGGGTCCTCCTCATCCAAAGCCATGTAGTACCTCTGAGACGTTTTTGACATGTAAACCCATTTTTCATCAATGTGTATCACATTTTGAAAATTCTGGAATGTTGGCTTACCTGGATTTGACTTGTCAACTTGGTTGTAACAGAACTGTACTCTGGAAACTTTGTTTTCATCTGTTAAGAAAGGCTTAATAGCATTTGTGTGACTTCTAAGCATACCTTTTTCAAACATTTGTGCAAAGTTGTCTTTGAAATGCCTGTGGCAGCAGCTAGTGCCCTCATATTGGTCCTTTTATACATTGGAATTGTAGAGATGGAGCTTATATCCACTTCAATTCTTTTCCTTCCTGAATTACCAGCCCACCTACTGCTTACATCCACCGGGTGCCCTTTCTGAAGTTGTTTTTTGGCAGTCGCCCATATGCTTGAAATGGATCTTCTGGAAACTTTAAATTCAGTTCCCAATTTACTGAACACACCTTTCTGAGCTACCAACGCCCCAAAACAATCTGTTTTTGCACTGAGTAGGATTTGATTCATGATAGTGTCCCTTTCCACATTTGACAGTCTCCTACTTTTGTTGTTGCTGACTGCTTCTTCTGACTCACCCTCATTTGTTATTGTGTTCAGGTTGGTTGGTGAAGAAGATGAAAGAGGAGCATTAATGAAAGGTGAAGGGGAATCAACATTTATGGAATTATGGCAACTGTCATTTATGGAAGAAGAAATGCTCACATTTATTGTGTGCGTGTGTGTGAAGTGTTGAGTGTTGTAATGGGAGGTTGGGAAAACAATGGGGAAATGGGAGTATTTGTAGAAGAAAATATTTGAAAGTCCCTCCAAAAATAGGAGGGAAGTTGTAACTGAAAATTTTACTTGGGGTGTACTATTCACCTTTTTTATCACATCTATCACACCCCACTTTATTTAATCATTCTTCATAAGAGTAACTTTTTTTACCCCTTTCCTTTTCGGCCAACCCTCCAAGGGTTTAATTGGAAAGTCAAAGGCTTTTTAGCCTTGCATTAAAAAGCGGTCCGGGTCAAATCGGGAAGAATTTTTGGGAACGGAGGGAGTAATATATTGAGAAACAATCATCCATGATCATATTTTGGGAATTGACATGAGTTTTACTCATATATAGGTATTTTCCCCTATTTTATTCATAATTTATCAATTAAATATCAACCAAATAAACCATTTATTATTGGTTTGCGTGACACTCTCTTGTCCCATTGTTAGTGCGGCGGAGGAAGTATTATGTATGCTATTCTATATGTATATAGTACTCAGTATATTACTACGTATACTACGTAAGAATTGGAATTGAAGTAATAGATGGAAATTTTTTGGAACATGCAGCGTTTAATTTGGGAACATTTCAATCATGATCTCAAAGATTGTAATCCACATCATCACAATAATCCCTGAATAAATCCATGGATGAAGATGCCTTGGAAACATTAAACGCTCGTGCTTTGCGCGCCTCTAATAAGGCCCTGCGCACCTATTTTTTAACAGAAGTGGACAAATGTGTCCTAGTCAATTAAATCGGAGCTTCTATATTTTTTCCCGTGTTGGGCGCACCTCCATAGCTCCATGCCAGCTCTCCTCAATATCAATTTTACATTAAGTATGTATCCAATAAATTATTGATGTCATGCGTCAAGTAATCCATTTTTTAATAAAATGTCATAACTTTTTCATTTTTGCTCCGATTTTTATAAAAATTATATCAAATTAAATATCTTTTTATGATCTTTCATATGACATCAATATTATACTACCTCCATTCTTAAATAAGTGCAACATGTGAAATTTTACACTATTCACGTGTTCTACTTTGACTACATTTTATTTATTGATGTATTAATATATTTTTTTGAAAAATATATTATTAAATTTGTCTCATTGTAAATTTTCAAAAACTAATGTTTTTAAACTTTTTCCTAATAGAGAATTATATATATTAATGGTCAAAATTGTGTCTCGGCAAGTGTGAAATGTTGACTGTTGCACTTATTTAAGAACGGAGAAAGTATATGTAAATTTTAAAAAAAAATCTGATCAAGTCTCGTGAACGGTCAAAATTGTATATTAACTATTATTTAAATCTAGTCTAGTTAGGGTCAGATCTGATTCTATTTGTTTGAATCTATCTGGTTCGAAATCAATTCAATTAAAAACTAATTAAATATCATTCACATCATAAAGCTAGTCATGTAACATATATGATCGTAATGTGAAATCAGCATGGTGCTGATGGAGTTTTAAAAGGTGGGACCCTCCACGTTTGAAATTAGTCCAACAAATAAAAAATGAAGATAATTAGTTTACTAGAATTAAAAATATTACTTATTTAAATATACTCCCTCTGTCCCTTAAAACTTTGACAACTTTCCTTTTTTGGATGTCCCACTAACTTTGCACTTTCCATTTTAAGTAAAGAATTTGTGGTTCCAGTTAATTCTCTTTCCTCTGGACAAACCTCAACCACACAATTTTTACTTTATTAATCTCCGTGCCGGTCAAACTTGGCAAAGTTTTGTGGGATGGAGGGAGTATAATCTACTATCACATGCTTTACTTTGATTACATTTTACGTTATTATTTTATGAAAGTTATTTTTTTTAAAAAAATATTATTTAATTCATCTCATTACAAATTTTTAAAATTTGATTTTTAATATTTTTTTACTAATAGAATTAAGATATAAATATAGTCAAAGACTTGCGTTGGCAAATGTGAAATGTTGACCGTTGCAATTAAAAAAGAACGGAAGGGGTATATAATTTCCAAAAAAATCTAATACGAAGTATAGAATTGCGCAAAGTTAAAAACAAAACAAAACATTTTATGTTTTTATAATATATAAGGTTTATATCAATCATCCAATACAATTGTAACGGTGTCTCTTATAACATTACGACATTTTGTAAACTGTTTAATTCGATGAAAAAGTGCAGTATTCCATTCTGTAACACTAGCGTCGTGATACTAAGACCATGTCGTAAATATACATTTTTCGACCGTTCACGAGACTTGACCAGATTTTTTTTAAATTACATATACAATATTGATATCATATGAAAGATCATAAAAAGATATTTAATTTGGTATAATTTTTATAAAAATTGGAGCAAAAATGAAAAAATTATGACATTTTATATAAAAAAGGGATTACTTGCCACATGGCAGCATTTTATTGGATGCATACTTAATGTAAAAATCATATGGAGGAGCCGGACATGGAGCTATGGAGGTGCGCAAAGCAATTTTGATTAATGTTTTAATTATACTTAATTTTAATTAATAATTAAGAAGGTTAAATTTGTCCATCTATGGTTACATTAAGCAATTGTTGGCATTTTTAGTCATCTACTTTTCATGATTAAATCATAGTAGAATTGAAAGTGACAATTTTCATAATTTTTAAGGGAATAAATGTTGGAGATTCTAAGCCGCAAACTAAAAATGTCTCCCTCACAAAATTTTGAACAATTTATCACAGAAGCTTTATTTTTTTTTCACCAATTTGTCTCCAAAGTTTTTTTTTGCCAATTTAATAAACTGCCTTCTCCGTTTTACCAATTTGATAAGTTAGCTCCACATTTGGACATGTTCTCAACGTGATCCTTCAGATTTGGGAAAATGTAGGTTGGTTGAAAATTAGATAGTCTTCAATTCTAATTCGAGTGTGGGGAAGTGTCCAAACAATTGTATAATTAATAAAATAAACAATAATAATTATTTGATATTAATTTTTCATAATATTATTATTGCAGCAAATACTATCCTCCGTTCCGTTTTAATCGTAACATGTTGAATTTTACACTATTCACATGCTCTATTTTGACTACATTTTACGCTATTATTTTATGAAAATTATTTTTTAAAAAATATTGTTCAATTCATCTCATTATAAATTTTCAAAATCTGATTTTTAATATTTTTTACTAATAGAATTAAGATATAATTACGATCAAAGGCGTGCGTTGACAAATGTGAAATGTTGACCGTTGCAACTAAAACAAAACGGAGGGAGTATTAATTTACAATTAATAACATACACTTAGTTTCAAAATTTCTAACTTAAATGTACTCACACACTCACCTAACCCCTCGAGCCCAGCAAGAAAACGGATGCGCTAACGCGCACCTAACCCCTACCCCGCCCCGTCCCCTACCCTACACCCTACCCCTAACCCTTTCATACCCTTACCCCTATCACGACCTTACCCTCTACACCTAATCCCTAACAACCAAAAAAAATGACCGTTGCAATTAAAAAAGAATGGAAGGAGTATAGAATTAAGATATAAATATAGTCAAAGACGTGCGTTGGCAAATGTGAAATATTGACCGTTGCAATTAAAAAAGAACGGAAGGAGTATATAATTTCCAAAAAAATCTAATACAAAGTATAGAATTGCGCAAATATGGATTAATACCTGAACCCGCCCTGTTGTGTTTTTATGGGGCATTTTAGTATTTCAGCAGCACTACTTTAATTTGGATTTTGGAAAATTGGCATTTGGATGGGGCCCATTCATTTGAAAAGTTTCTTCTTCCATCATCATGACATGATCATGATATCATTATATGGATCAAGCCAGTGGCATCGACCGTGGATCCCACAAAAACCTTCCGCGCATCCACCACTGCCCGCCTTAGAATTCGTTAACAAACGCTGACAATAATAAAAGCACATGTTCCACCCACAGCTGTACTGTATAAAAAAACTATAAATAGACTAATTAAGCTGCAAGAAAGGAGAAGAAAGAAAAGAAACCAAAAAAAGAAAGAAAAGAAAGAAAGAGTATTGTATTGTAGGGAGAGCTAAGTTGTCCAATCCAAAGTTTTCCATAATAGCAATTTCTTTGGGATCATTCATCATGTCTTCAGGATCAGTTTATTCTGGTTTTGATAACCCAAGGCTGGTGGTGAAGAAGGTTTTGGCCAAACAACAAAAGGAAGGTGAAGGTGCTAATGTTAGAAGAAGCATTGGGAGGTACCTACCCACTATTTTCCCTCTGTAATTTCTTATCACTGAGGCATAATTTGAAATTTAGAATTGAATTTGGAGCAGAAAAAGCTTCTTTTTGTCCAAAAGCTTGCATAGTATGCATTGACTTTTGCATTTTGAGAATTGCTTTCCATTTCAAAAAACATTTCTTTGGGCTTGTCCCACACTTTTGACTTTGATACAAAACATTTACAGCTCTCAGAAACATCTTTCCTCTCGATTCTTCTTTACAATGAAATCATGAAGAGCCAAGAACATCATCAATACCAAATTAGTCTAACTAACATATTCCATATCAAATCATATTTGATGCAATTGGAAATGGTCTTTATTTCGTTCATACTTTCTTGTTCTTTTTTGTCATTTTTTAGTTTGAATTCTTGTGATGAGAATTCAGTATTTAGAGTTCAGACAAGACGTATTAAAAGATTGAACTCAATTGATTAGCTATATCAATAGGGCTTGCGAATATTGAGAGACGTGCAATAATGAAGTAAAAATTGCGTAGTCGAGTACAGAAGACGAGGAAAAATAATAAGAACTACATTTTGATTACTCTAAGAAAAGTTGCAAAGTTTAAAGAGGACATAGTAATATGAACCAATATGTAACATTCTGCACTACTATTTGGTTAAGGAGATAGGACATCACGCCAAATCCAGAATCTTATGTATCGGCTTACCATTTTATAGTTTCTTAGTGTGAGACAATATCTTTAACAACGTGATATCTTATTAGCAGGATATTTATTTTAATTTTCTTGATCTTTAATATATCCAAGAATGAGGGTCTAGAGATTTTGGTTCCTGAGTTCATGTAGTAATCTACTCCAACTCAAGTTACCATGTGGCATTTTGTCTACAATAAAGGAGTTGTGTCTGCATTTGTTACTAGCTAGCAATCATTTCATTTTCATTTTCATTTACCCCAGTGCCGCAAAGGCTCCCACCTACGGTGGGGTAAGGGGGGTCGGATGTACGCAGTCTTACCCCTGTACTAAAGTACAGAGAGACTGTTTCCGGATGACCCATAGTGAAAATCGCGTCCAAGATTGCATGGACTGACTGCTGCTCCATAACAAAGAAGCGCAGACAGTTTAGTGAGCCATTTTGCTTTATTCCATCATAACCTCAAGCCAAAAAATAATGAATCTTTGGCTCCATTGCAAATGATGGAATCTAAAGGTAAAATATATAGCCTGTTGTGTTGTTATTTAATGTTTGGGAAATTTGTTTTGTAGGCCTGAATTGAAGAACCTTGATCCATTCCTAATGCTGGATGAATTTGAAGGTACACCCCTCTTGATTCTAAATTAGTTCTTTTTTCTGCTTTGGAAACATTTGGTAACTCTGTTTGATCAAACAGTTTCATCACCTGCTGGGTTTCCTGACCATCCACACAGAGGCTTTGAGACTGTCACATATATGTTAGAGGTAGGTGTCTAACTTCAAACTGGATTTGATTATAGAATGACCTATTTGTATGTCTCAGTGTTGCTATCTTTATATGATTTTCTATGTAGGGAGCTTTCACTCATCAAGATTTTTCTGGGCATAAAGGTACAATAGGAACCGGGGATGTGCAGGTATATGCATGAAAAGATTGGTTTTTTTGACATTATGAACCCTTTTGGTCAACAGAAATTTTAAGGAAAGAAAATAGGAATAAAAGTATTAAAGCAACATGGGAGGAAAATAAAATTTTGTTCAAACTTAATAAATTTATTTTAATATTAGTTTGGAATTATTTTATTTATCTATGTAGTTATTTATACTTTTGTATTGTGTAAATACCAAGTAATATTAACATATGGGGAAAAAAGTTACGACGTGTATATTTAACCATATTTTGCTTTCCTTTGCCTTTTTCGAAGTAGATCAAAACATGAGAAAATTGCATTCATTAGCATTCTCTTCCCTTCCCCTTGCATTTTTGGAGATCCAAACATAGCCTGAAGTCCATGAAAAGTTATGAACTGTTAAGTGTTTGTTGCTGATGCAGTGGATGACAGCAGGAAGAGGTATAGTTCACTCTGAAATGCCTGCAGGAGAAGGTATACAAAAGGGGTTGCAGCTATGGATAAATCTTGCCTCCAAGGACAAAATGTAAGATCCATGTTGCTATTAGTGGCTAATCCCATATTTGCTACTGTGAGGATCAGTTTTGGCCACCAACTTTAAGGAGCAAAATTCACATTTGTTTTCAATTGTTGGGCTAATCATCAAAGTTGACTTGGTGAAATCAATTAATTGAAAAAAAACTTGTCTACAAAGGAAGGACAGTTGGAGTCCATGTGTAATATAATATAAATATGGTGTTGAGTTCCCACCAAAGTTGACCACCCAAATATTAAGCCACTTTACACTAATTATATTATTATATACGAAGTATAAAACACTTACCAATATATAAGATCTTTGACTACTTCTCTTGTGTTCAAACCAGCAATTTGATCCGACTAAAGCATAAATAGTGACCACAATGACTTACAGGCTTACAGCTTGTATGCTCTAACTCGCACTTATCTTGTGGCACATAATAAGACATTGAAGGATACAACCCCGAGTGATCTCAACAAGAGATTATGGTCCAATTTACATCCTCCCAACGTACCATCCGGTCGGGGTTGGGGGGCCCTCAGGGATGGGGTGTCATCCTTTCCGATTGATCTCAACAATGTTAGCGTCCACGTTAAATGCACCGTTGTAGCTAGTGAATGTGAATGTGGCAGTAGCAGTACTTTTTGAAACACACATTTCCTCGTGACTATGATTATGACTACTCTTATTATGATGGTAGGATTGAGCCGAAGTATCAAGAACTGCTGAGTGGAGACATTCCAAAAGCAGAAAGCAATGGGGTTGAAGTGAAGGTGATAGCAGGAGAGGCAATGGGGGTGAAATCCGCAGTATACACAAGAACTCCCACAATGTATCTCGATTTCACTTTAAAACCGGCATCGGAATATCACCAAAGCATCCCGCCATCATGGAACGCCTTCGTTTATATCATCGAAGGAGAGGGCAGCTTCGGCATCCCAAATGCAAAACTATCGCTTGCATCAGCTCATCACTGCTTGGTTTTGGGTCCCGGGGAGGGTCTGAGTGTGTGGAACAACTCCACTTCCAACCAGCCGCTCAGGTTTGTTCTGCTGGCTGGGCAGCCGCTCCACGAGCCAGTCGTTCAATATGGTCCTTTTGTGATGAATTCACAAGCTGAAATTCAGCAGACTTTCCATGACTACAGTCATTACAAGAATGGTTTTGAGAAGGCAAAGCAATGGAGTTCTCGTTCTACCCGGGAGGCTACTAGAAATTAAGGGACTACTTACTAATAAGGATCTTATTAATAATAATAGTAATAAATGTTTTTTTACAAAAAAAGCTCCACTCCATCATTTATGCAATTCTTAATCAACATCAATTGTTTCAGATCCCAAAACAAGATTAGGATTCGTCTCACCATCTATGGAGATCTGTAAATTTCATACGTATCTTTCGACATAGAATTTAATTTTTTATGATGATCATTACTGTTTATTTCTGATCTTACCATATTTTAGGTATGCCGAGTTTGTTAACTATTTTTTTCTCAAAACATGTTCAAATATACGAAATTTTCATTTCTAATTCTTAGGATGTAATTCTAGGGGACAATGTAGGCCCCGATCCACCCTGAATTTAAAACAGATTTAACTTTTAGTGTAAAATATTACATGTAAAAAAAATTAAAAATATTCTTTCTACAAGTCAAGTTCGGCTTTGTGCCTTGGCTCTGCCTGCCTTTTGCTGTCCAAGATATATAAAACAAATTATCATTGATTTCAGTTTAGGTCAAGTGGTGTTGGGATATCAATTGATTCCATGCCATTCCAAAACAACCAGAGCGATTCTCTTACGTAAATAATTAATTAAATATATATATATTTTTCATCACCTTTATAATAAAAATAAAACTCCATTTGCCACTCAAAGAAATGGTGCAGTTCATAGACCGTATAAACTTATTCCAGCTTTTCAAGTTAATGCGACTCATTCCGCAATATAGCTAGTTAAAGATAGGCTTGGACCCGACCGGGCCCGAACCGGCCCGAGTCCAAGCCTAGTTAAAGATATTTAGAACCAGGCCTGGGACCAATTCAGTTCGCTAAAATAGATGGTTTAAAAAATATTAAGAATGTTTTTACTTGGACCGTTTTCAGTCCCAGACCAGACTTTCATAGTTATAAAATACACAGAGACCATACGTTTACCAGACTAGACCAGACCAACAAATTTCAGTCCAAATAAAAATACCCTAAATCTTAATAACGGTTCAGTTATTATAAATTATTTATAGGTTCGATATGGAACCAAACCATTTCTTAACGGTTTTGTTCTTGTCATTTTACGGTTCCTAGTTTTAAAAAAAAATCTTACAAATCATTGGTAAATTTGTGCCACATAAAAACATTCAACGTATGAAATTACAAGAAAAAAGTTTACCATCATTTCAAATCTCAAAAGTTGAGTTTAAAACATAAATACATGACAAACTCAAAATTTTAGTAAATTAAACAAAACAAGACATTCACTATAAATTAACAACATAAATTAGTAGATACATAAGTTTTGTGAAGAGCAAAGCATCCAATGGACCAATTCCAAATACTGAATTTAATATTAAAATAAATAAGTAAATATACATTAAAATATATGTACTGATATATATACTAGTTTAGCCATCTATAGAACCACAATGATGCCTAACCCTAGTACGAAATGATGATTGATCTATCATATCTAAACATAATACTCATAGATTGAAATTTTCATGACAAAGATAGTTGACTGACTCGACTCTAACATAGAGGATCAGGCCCACGAGTCCACAACCAAGACTTCACAAACTCATGCAGTTTCATTAACACTAATCCATACAAAATCTTTTGGACAATTTCAATGAGTTCAGAAACCTTAAAGGAGCAATATCAGCTTTCAATTACAGGATTTATATATTGATGCTGAAATCATTCATACAATAAAAAAAAAAAAACAAGACATTGTACTACAACACTAGTACACTACCACTATTAAATCATCTTTATGACTTGTATATATAATGACCTTGTCATGTGTAACAAACTGTAGGATATCTTGCAAATAACAAATATAATTAAACAAATGAAGAGACAAAGACCAACCAAACCACTACACCATAAATCGGTAACCAATCTAATCCAGTTGTACCAGATAAGCACTGGTTCGTACACCTAGAAATAAATGGTTGTTGGAGTATAGAAACCCAGCTAGGATTACCTGGAACAACAAGAATAGCCTTGATTTTGCTTATTAGATGCATCCAAGGATCCATTACTAACAAGGTTAACTCGGTTAACAGATACCTCGTTTTTAAAAGAATCGGAGTTCAAAACCTTTCTGCTAACTCTATTATATATCTCTCGGATAACAATCTCAAAAGCCTCCTTCACATTTTTTGAGTTCAGAGCAGATGTCTCCATAAAGTACAACCCTTCGGCTTCTGCCAGGCTTTTCCCCTCTTCTACACTCACATCCCTGATATCTCCCAAATCACATTTGTTGCCAACAAGCATCCTTGCAATGGTTGCATCAGAATGTGCTGCATCATGACAACCCTTGTTCTTAAGCACAAACTTTCAGCAATAAGAAGAGAAGCATTGAGAGTAATTTTAAACAGGGATATCAAAAATTAGTGTGCGGCAGCTCGGACTGAGCACCTCTAGCCATCGAACAATGAGCAGTGTGTATTAACTATTAAGTCAACTAACTAAAGTCTACATCTTTAAACGTAAGAGAAGGCCTTACATGTGAGTTTGTATGTTGGACTAGACCAATCTTGTTGTGTGCTCTTTTTTTAGGCTTAATCGGACATATTCACTTGGACTTGTTTCAGTTAGCTAAGACTTAAATAGACGACCAGGCTAGATAAATTTAGTCCAAAGGCCTCTTTGTTTGGACTGAATCTTACTCGGTGGTCTATTTAAGTCTAGTTTGATCTAATCTCGTCTAATTTTATAATTTATATTATGCCCACGGAGTATTTTATTATTATCAAAAAACTGGTATGGGCATGATCTAATTTTTTTAAGTCTAGCCTGGTCTATTGAAGTTTGGTCTAGTTTGATCAAGTCTGTTGATATCTGAACTAGGAAAGAAATAAATCTAAGTGAACAAAAGTCCTCAATCATAGTAGTTAATATGATTTGCATATACATTGGACAATTAGGTACACTTAGATTTAGGAAAAAAATCTAAGTGAACACATGCTTCCAACAATTAAAATTAAGTGCTCTTATCTAGAAGGGAAAACAATCATGTGATTCACAATATGTATTGCACAACTCCAAGGAAAAACAATCATGTGATTCACAACTCCATACGATTTGATTTTGAATTTAGACTAAGAGCCTAACACTGGAATTGGCTGAATTGACTTAATCTATTGAAATTGATGGAATTTTGACTCAAGCAGCTGAATGGCCTGAATTATGGAAATTGATGGAATTCCGACTCAAGCAGCTGAATGGGCTGAATTGTGAAAATATTATATTCAAAATATATTATTAATAAAATAGAGATAAAACATAGATGGAAAAATAGCTAAAACGGTCCTCTACAAGAACTTCAACTAATTCAGCCAGAAAAATAACTCTAACCTTACTTAATTTAATTATTACACAATTTAGCATGTGAAAACAAACGCCAAGTGTTTGATAAAAAAAACTTGGTTGTTAAGGCTGATAAGCTGAAAATGGAGGTTACCAATGGGTTCTAAATTGATGTGTACTAGCATCAGAAAAGGAAAAGAATTGAGTCATTGATTTGGCGTAAGTTTCTTGGAAGGTATTTTGGTATTCGGGATTAGTGGATGAATATAATTTAGGGTCTTACTATTCCTGCAACAATATACAAAATTTTCAGTAACTATACAAACAACAACAACATCCAAGAAATTATGTTCTTTGTGTTCTAAGCATTAGATTTGTTATATAGTTCCTCTTTTCTTATTTTGTTGCAAGAGTTGGACTTTTCACATTTTCCAATGCATGACGGTTATTAATAATATGCTCAATTGGTTTAGTAAAAAATATAAAAGTCCATGCTTTGAAATTTACATTGAAAATTTAAAAACAAAAATATAATTTCCTAATGCATGAATAAAGAAGACGTAATCAAAGTAGAGTATATGAATAGTGTAAAAGTCAAACACTTCAACAAGTTAAGAACAGAGGTAGTATATTGTTTATTATGTAGTGCTTTATTAAGATGCTTTTGATTCACTATGACAAATATCCCTCAAAAGATTATTAGAACTCCTTAGAGATGGACAAACCATAAAGAGAGTTGATGGACAAACCATATAGCTAGCCTCTTTTTGGAGAGAAAGTATTGTCCATCTGTATGTGTGGCCAGTTAAGCCTTTCCTTGGCCTCAAAGTCTTCGCTACTCAGCAAAGAACTTGAGGACAGTTATGTTTTATTGTTGCGTTAATTCAAAAATTGCAAATAGTTTTAGTAACTATGCAAGTGGAAGAATATTAATAGGATTATTTAAATTGCAAGTAGAAATGAATTAACTAAATCCTCAAGTCCACAAACACTGTTGCACATGATATGAATATGAGGTTATTGAATTCACTTAGAAAAAGAACTACATTTCCAGCACAATTTCTGACAGATTTGATCTGTAGGAACTGTCCAGGACAAACATTTCGAGATTTATAAGAGTCTAGAAAACTCGATTGATAAAAATCCAAAGATTCTCTCACAAAACTAATTGCTGCAACGAAATTAGTTATTCCGGAAGACGAATTCGTTAACAGAAAAAATCATCAACAGACTAATTTTTCATATAAGCTTTTAATGAACTCACACTGAGTGATTGCTAAAATCCAATGAAAAACCAACCTGAAAATGGCTACTTTTATTAGTGTTCAGTTTTCCAGAAAATGATAATTGTTCTACTAATTATACTGTTTGATTGCTCATATGTGTTTCATGTTTGGTAGTAGAGTTGTCATCATCAAACACATGAACATCCAAGAATGAGGGCATCTGATTTGATTTTCAAAAATAGTGATACTTAATTTAATCATGGATGTACATGTTTTAGGTGTTTTAATTAGTTTTCTTTAGAGATCTGTAGTTGTATTGGTGTTTCAATCGCTAAAATTTAGCGGGGTATCTTTTTCTTTATATAACAACATTATATGGTATGTAATTTGCAACAAAACTGATGATCCACATTGGTCATTTGCTCATTCCGTCAAGAATATCAAATCGCCAGCACATATTAATGGTAACATAAGAAAATATTTTGCAGTTAATAAGGTTCAACTCTGAGTTCCATTTATAGGTTCAAATACTTAATATATCTCATTAAATCAAAAGACTATGACTTGAGACTGGAGAAATGGATTAAACAGACCCTGAGCGGGTAACCCCAAATAATGAGTAGTCAGGGACTCAGGGCACCCAGTTAATATTTAAGCCTAGTATAATTGATTTGCAACCCAGGGCATCCCGGATTCCTGGATCTGCCACGGCGAGTAGCCCACATTCTGAACTAGTTGGGTCTCATGCAAGGTCAGTGATAGAAAGGGTAGAAGTGTACAACATAATCTTATATGTTGGATTTTATTGTTTTATACGTATTTAATTGATACGAGACTAAGGCTTGGATGTATTTGGATGTTGTATTGTATTTAATTGATATGAGAAAAATATTTCTTAACCATAAAGAATCAACAAATCTCAAGGCCAAAGTAATCAGATCAATGTAGCGTTATACAAGGCATGCTATTATCAAATCTGCAAAGCAAAAAAATTCAATTGAAGCCTAACCTAACAAAGAGACACACACTAATTCCGGCACATATGAAGGCCGGCGGCAACTAAGATGCTGAATTTTTAAACATCAAAGAAATAAGAAACGGACAAGGAAAACATACTTTGAAGCTCCTCGAGCCAACGTGGGATACTATCGAAAGTAGTACGGCGGCTAATGTCATAGACGACGAGTGCGCCGAGGGCGCCGCGGTAGTAAGCTGAAGTAACTGCGCGGAACCGCTCTTGGCCGGCGGTGTCCCAAATCTGGGCCTTCACTTCTTTGCCGTCGATTTCAAGCGTCTGGGTTTGGAACTCTACTCCAATTGTGGTCTTGGAGTTGTGGTTGAACTCGTCCCGGGCATAGCGGGATAGCAGATTGGATTTCCCGACAGCAGAGTCGCCAATGATCACTATCTTGAAGAGGTATTCCTCTCCCTCTTCGTCCGAGGAATCCATTGGAGCTGCGACGAAGCTCAGATTCAGATATTGAGGAGGAGATCTAGGTGGACGGATCAAATTGGCAGACACTGCTGCGAAGGAATTGGGTTTGATTCTGTTTTTGTTTCTGTGAAGTCCGGATGAGACAACTCTATTTTAGTGGAGTTGACTTTTAATGGAAATCGTACACTAGTGAAGTGATTTTGAAAAAAGGATGTAAATTGGACTATAATCCCAATCTGACAGGTAGAGAGTGATGTTCTGTCCTCGGTACTTGCAGAGGCTCTATACATTTTTAGCATAGTAACATCTCATCGCAGTTGACGGGATTCGAACCCGGGACCTAACCCTTGTGGCACTCCCTTCCTACCAGTTGAGCTACGCCCACCGGTTAGTGAAGTGATTTTGATAAAGGAGGGTGGTACACTACACTTATACATTGATGTAAAAATCATTTATGTACCCCTCCTATTTTATGTAGAGCTGTCAAACGGGCCAACCCGGTCCAACCCGGCCCAACCCGGCCCAACTCATGACGGGTTATGGTCTATGTGGGTTGGGTCGGGCCAACCCGTTTAATGACGGGCAAGAATTTATTCAATCCTAATCCAACTCACCTAACCCGTGGGTTAAACGGGTTGGCCCGTGGGGAAAAAAATAATAATTACCCGGAAGTATAAATTTATATTAGTAAGTAGTAACAAAGGAAATATAAAAAATCAAAATACTAAAAATTCAATACTTGTTAAGTTTAATTAAAAAATATTAAATACTAGTTATATGAGAATTTGAAAACTATAAGAGGGTATGCGGCAAAAATACTCATTGTATAAAAATAAAGGTCTACATAAACAATTTGATTAATTATTTGTAAATAATGACTACTAATTGTTAAATATTGTATCGAACTTCACATAAAATGTACTTCGTATGTTTCAACATTTTATTTGAATATTTATTAATTATTATTGAAATAAATACGAAGTATTGTTTTTCCATGGTTGTAATTTTTTATTTGTAATTATAATAATATTGGTAGTAAAAGGATAATATTTAAGATAATAAAATTTAAAACTATATTTTTGTATATTGGCCCGCGGGCCAACCCGCAACCCGGTGGACCAACCCACTTAAACCCACAACCCGCGTGGGTTGACCCGCGAAACCCGCGAACTAAATGGGTCGGAAATTTTCAACCCTAACCCACCAATATATGGGTTTAAACGGGTCAGCCCGCGGGTTTCGGCTCATTTTGACGGCTCTAAATTTATGTACCCTCATATTTTGTAGAGATATTACCCGAAATAGGACTAAAACAGTTTGAAAATTCCAAAATAGGACTATCATGTTTTTATTCCCAAAATAGGACTAATTATTGTCATGTTTTGGCAATACCAAACTTCAAATATGTCAGTATTTTCTAAACATGATAATAATTAATCCTATTTTGGGAATAAAAAACATGACAGTCCTATCTTAGAATTCTGAAACTGTTTTAGTCCTATTTCAGGAACTTTCCCTATTTTGTACCCCTCCTATTTTATGTTCACAAAAGCACTTTATTAAAATTAAGCAATTAATTTAAATGGGTTGGATTTTTGTGAGCCACAAACATAGGGCTTTATTCTCTCAAAGAGGAAAGTGAGAAGATTTCGAGCATCCCAATAAGTTTGTATGAAAAGGGTTGATGGGGTGTTGTGGGTGGAAGAGAGGAATGATATTTGCTGTTATAAATTAATAGCAGGGGCAACAACACCCTCCGATTGGATGGGTTGGATGGTTATGTGGTCCTTAAAGATACCCTCGAATTTAAATTTTTTCTTTTGGCAACTCATGGATGGATCCATTCCCCGCTTATTTAAACCTTAGTAGGAGGGGGATCGATTTACCTTTGACTTGCAGGGCTTGCAGCGAAGAGGAGAAATCGACAACTCACCTTTTCCATGACTGTCCGACGACTAGGGAGGTCTGGAGTGCAGCGAACTGGTGACAACAAACTTCAGTGGACAGCTCTGAGTTATGGATAAAGGACATTCTGGAAGGGAGTAATAAAACCAACCGTGGATGGTTTATAGCAATCTTCTAGAGTATTTGGAAGTGAAGGAATAATTTTGTTTAAGAAGGGGACAATCAAAGCAGTATGGCGGTGGTATGATGTGCGGATGGGATGATAAATGCTTGAGATTTAGCACGAGGTTGGAGAAAAGGCGGAAGCCTGGGGCAGGGGCTATAAAAGTTAATATAGATGCGACAGTGAATGAGGCGGGAGGAATAAGAGCTTGGAGCTAGATTGTTCGCATGGATTAGGGGATGTTCCTCAAGGTCGCTATTAGATCCAGGGATGGAGTTTGGAGTCCATTGGAGTCAGAAGCTTTGGAATTAGGGCAACAATGATGGGTGTGGGTAGGACTTTGTGGAGTTTTAATGACAACAAAATACACTCATATAAGACTAGTACATTTTATCACAAAATTTAACTTATTTGATTCTATTAATTAAATATATAAAACTTCCTCAGTTAAAGAGTAAATTATTTCCATTTTAAAAAGATAAATCGATGGTCCTATTTAGGGCATTTTAATTTATAAGATTATCATGACTTTAAGAGAAACCCTATTGCTATAGTTTCCTTATTTAATAAATTTTTTCTATAAAAATACTCAACGACCCTTATTATCTGTATATTCTTGAGCCTATTTAGTGACCTTGTTTTTCGACTCATCAGTCAACTTTTTCACCAAAAACATAACTTTTGGTTTCGTTGATTGAATCGTATAATAATAAGAAAAAATAATATTGAAGTTACTTGTCTGAGTGTATTGACTAAAGTTAATTTTGATTTAGCTATTTTTCACATAATAAAATATATTTCAAATAATTTTTTTTCATAAATAAGCAAAATCAATCAATCCAGACATTTAAGTCAAAATCTCATAAATTTCAACAGAATCAACCAATACAACTGATTTGGGTATTACCATACGAGCTCTTTATCTTCTATTTCATATTTTTACAATCGCACCCCTCTTTTTTCGCATTTTCCTCCTTAAACCAACTTACCAAAGCTAATGTAGCAATCTTTGAATTAATTGAATATAGAGAAAAAGGTTAGTGCATGATCAAGAAAAAGTAGATAATTTAAAAATGGTGACTGGGAGACGAACGAATTTTATGATTAATTTAAAAAATAATTATGTAGCAATAACTAAAAGATATTTAGAACAACAAAATAGATTTTTAGAGATCATCAAAGGACTCTTACAAATTTGGTTGTGATATCATGTATCAATTCATGTTAGCCGATCCCAATATTTTTTGGAATTAAGACTTGGATGTTGCTGTATCAAAGAACTCTTACACGCTATATTTATGTTTTAATTCTATTTATAGAATTTTCTCATAAACTTTTACATTTTAAAAAGAATACAAATTGCGGTGGAATGGAAATCATCTATCGTTTATGTCTACATGCCATGGTTGAAATCTACATGACTTTTCCATGAATCTTGCAAAATAAGAGTTGCAGATGATACAGTTCGCTTAACCAACAAATGATTTCAAAAATATGAATAAAAATTCATGATTTGTAACCGTTCATCATACCAAAACCAAACAAGGTTGTACTTTGATGAAGTTGACCAAACACCATTTTTCCTTGCAGTACATAATATAATGATATCAAACTATTAGCACCTAAAGCAAAAAAGGGCACCAGCAATACAGACATACAGTAGGGGAAGGAGTAGGATCGGATAGAGTAATGAATGCCCAATGTCTGCAATGAGTAATGAACAAGTACAGGCAGAGAGATACATTACTCCTCCATGCGGTTTTCTTTGGACTGTTGTGAGACCTTGACCTTGATTGGCAAGGTGAGTGAAGGATCTTTTTGGAGAGCCAAAGGAACTTTGACCATGTGGATACTCTGTGCAAGTTCCTTTGCATCTACTTTCTGGACCATATATTTCTTAGATCTCAACCTGGGAGATTTTTCAAGAAAAACATTAATGCACATTTGTATGTGAGTGTGATTACGCAACAATAACCACAAATATATCACTATATTAATACTTAGTCAAAATGTGACTTTTAATATTTTTGCAGTGACTACTGTGACCGTGATGGTATTCTTTTTCAGGAAAAAATAATTTAAATACCCCAAACTTTGAAAGAGTGAGATTAATAGCCCAAACTTGTATATGTAATATTTATACTCTGAACTTTATATAAAAAGTTATCCTAGCACCGTGATCATATATGATAAATGTATTTAAATTATTAATTTAACACCGTAAATTTACATTTGTGAAAGAAAAATCATATAATCATGGTGCCAACATAACTTATTATATAAACTTCAGGGTATTTATATTACATATGCAAGTTTGAGGTGTTGACCTCACACCCCTTGAAAGTATGGGGTATTTGAATTATTTTTCCCTCTTTTTCATTATCTGATAATACTATAGAAAAAATCTCTATATAAATGGATCCACCAAAATTTGTAGACAAACTGGCAACATATAAAAACCTGTTCTTGTGATGAGTAGCCTCCCTATCACTCCTGACTTTAACAATTTTCTTGATGGCCTTCAAAGTGTTCTCTGTTACATTCTTGTCGTATCTTTCAGGCCTATTTCGCTTCCTCTCAAATTCAAAGGTTGAGTCCTTCCCGTTTGAATATTCCAAGAAGAAATGCAAATGCATGAAATGTAGAGTACGGTCAGTAAATAAAACAGCAACAAAAAAGAAGAAACCGATTGGCGAATGACACATTTTTTTATGAAGATTAAATAGATGTGGCCTGCCTGTGTCATGTCCTTTCCATGCAACCGCCTATAGGCCTTAGTCCACTTGACCTTGCGTGGATTTCTCTTCATCTTAAAGTTCTTGTGACATTTAGATCTACAGAACCTAAAAATCTGCAGATGAAGAAACACATGGATTATCATCAATAAAGTTTAAAAAACACCCATTTAGGCATACATATAGATAAAGCATATACACAATCCCACAACAAACAATATAGCATTCACCTGTCCGATTTGTTACTTAGCCACAGAAAATCAACAATATGCCTCCATATATAATTTTTGTAACCAAAACAAAATTGCTATATGGACAACAAAAACATACCACATCCGTCCCATTGGACATTGCCAAGTTAGATTTAGGTATGAAATAAGATAAGTAATAATTATGTGCTTGAAGTTTGTACAGCGAAAAGAGAAACAAGCAAGTCCACAAATTATATAGTTTAAAGGGAAAGTGATAAAGTTTGTAGGACAAATAGAAAAGTAAAGTCGGCAAGGTCTAATAAGACGAGGGAGTATGAAAAGGGGAAATTTGCAAAACAAAAAAGATCTTCATTCATTTCATTTTCATTTTCATTTACCCCAGTGCCGCAAAGGCTCCCACCTAAGGTGGGGTAAGGGGGGGTCGGATGTACGAAGTCTTACCCCTGTACTAAAGCACAGAGAGACTGTTTCCGGATGACCTATAGTGAAAATCGCGCCCAAAAAAAATCTTGATTATAACTTATATGAAAATGTCCCACAAACTAAGGTGAAAAAGTCAAAAATCCAAATTGTTGATGCAAATCTGATATTTCAAGGAACAACTGATCCCCACAGGCTGAACATAGCTTGACATGAAAATATATAAGTCTTAGATACTCGACAAGTACAGAACTAAGCAATAAGTAGTTAATTCCTGAGTAGCCTGACACGGTGAAATGCTAACATACAATCTGGAAACTTCAAAAATATACACTGCATGTGTTTCAAAAAAAAATTAAAAAGTGTACATCAAATCGTGGCTTAGGCCATTTAGCAAAAGAGCACACATTACAGTGTGCTGATTAGGTTCTTTTCGTTTACTTTTTTATGAATACTGTTAGGGCTATAAGGTTACCAGGTGTTCAGCACAATTTTAAAGTAATAACAGGTTAATAAAAGGGAAAAAGAAGGAGAGAAGTCAGAGGCTTTGAGAACTAGCGCATCAATCTTTCTTCAGTGACCGAGCTGCACCCTCTGACATGACCCAGCTGCAAGCAAATGAGGTATTCTCCTCCTCCTTTCGTCTACTTCTTTCTCATCTTCTTCTACATTTATTTTACTTTGTCATACTAAACTCTGTTTCTTGGGAGGCTTCTTTCCTATTTTATTTCCTGAGTCTATTAGTTTTTAAAATGACTCATAGCAATATCATTAATTTGCTACGTCGATTTGTTTAATTTATTCTTTCAGTTTATTTGATATTTTATTTGCTGAGACTTTGAGTGGTACTCTGTTTTATATTTCCTTTTTCATATTAATTTATTCAGTTTCAATATAAGCTCTGGATATGATACTATGATAGTTTAGTAGCTTGCTAAATGTTTTCTACATTATGGGTTAAGCTACTACCACTTTGATGAGGAGGAAATGAAAGGATCCGGCATGCATGGTCACGATGCCAAATGAGTCAAGTGCTATGTTTTATCAAATGTAATTTTAAAATAGATACAGTGAAGAGAGGGGAATCAAAACAGCACCTCCCACAATCCCTTAACAAAGTGGTAGTAAGTCAAAGGAGCCAGATGACGTTAAGCTTGACACCAGTCAAAATTTGAAATTTGAGGATTCAAAGACGAGGTCGTGATGACTCTTCTCATTATTCCTCTAACATGAACTCACTTAGCTTTTAAACAGTCAATGATAGAGAGATATGAGATAATCACTCATAGGATTATGTCATGTCCTCATGTCACACTGTTTCAGCTTTTAAACAGTCAATTAGGACACCATGCGTGCCTGTTGTTTGGTTTAATACTATTAACTCTTAAGAAATTTATGTGTTAGTGCACTTTGATCTTGATTGCTTAGTTTAGGCCTCTTTTTTATGGAGCACTGAATCTTACTGTGTTTTCTGATTTTGTCATGGTGGACATGAGGAATCCCCTCCTCAAGGTAAAACTTTTTTAAGTCAACTAAATCCAGTTACAAGTTTTTACAAATTATGAATGGTGACTTATACCCCTAAAACTTATTCCCTGGATTGTTTATAATATTTTACTAGAGCCACTTGCCACTTGACTACACAAATTCTACTTTCGAATATAGTTTGACTTAAGTCGGGCTCCTTGAAGAAGTTCTTCAAATAAGACTCTTTTGGGGACTATGGGAGTAAGAATTATTCTTATATGTAACCAAATGTTTATTTAGGCCTATCATCGAGAGTCAAGAATTCTTTTTAGGGACACTGCAGCGCACCTTGAGGCTTACGCTCATATCTTTGAAAGAGAACACCAGCAGTTTAGATTTTTTTAAATAATGCACACTCCTAAAAACTGAAGAATGTGTATTTATTTCTTGTGAATATAAACCACCATAAAGGATGCAATAAACCACTATACACTTGTATGAT